GGACCAGAATGTGTGGAGTAAGATTGTTCGGAGCATCCTGACCGAAGGGGCTGAATGATGAATGATGATGAGATGGTGTCGCTAAACAATATTATCATTGTAGTCTTAGAAGTCCAGAAGTCAGTTCTCTAAACTTCCTCCAGCTATGATACTTACTCAAGACATGAATTTTGAACTTCTTGGCTGGAAAAACTGGATCGCCAACAAAAAATTAAAAGACTATTATGGTTCTATTATGGACTATTAATGTTCATGCTCTGAACAATCTCAATCTGTTCTGAATCTGTAGACCGCGGAAACAATACGTATCAAACTATTTTATTAAGGGTCACCAAGGCTAAACTTTCTGTTCCATAATTGTCTCGTACTGATTTCCCCATTAAGAAGACTTAAAATCAGCTACAATGGGGTGATTCTTTGGAATAGTTTCCCACTGGATATGTGGTTAAATGCATGGAATTCTTGAAAAAGCAGGTTATTTTGTTCTTTAAGTTTTACAAAGTGTTTCAAGTGTACATAGATATGAAAATGGTCATTCCTATTATCGTGAGGAGTTAATTGTGTTGAAAAGAAGATTATTATTAATAGTTTTGGTATCAGCCCAGTCCCCTCTCTTAGATCCACCACTTGGCAGTATAGCCATTGAAGTCAGTGTCATGTTGTTGTAGTCAATAGGCCCTCTATAAGGGAGGGGGGGTTACTTATGTCCCCATTCTGAATTTCAAAACCAGTCATTTTGCGTATTGAGGAAGAAGCCAAATTGCTGTTGGAATTTTACTATTGTATTTGCACTTTTCTCTGTTGCTGTCGCTGTCACAGTTTCCACCCATCTTTGTGTTGTTCGTCGACATTTCTGACGTCCTATGTCACTGTTTCAAGGCCAATTTTACCCTAACAGGGCCTCATTACACTGTTTATTACACCAACTACACTGATTATGACTACACAGGTATACTAGCCCGCATAGTAGGCACTAGGAAGAGATAAGCGTGAAAAAACAAAGTGGACCTTTTCTTTTTTGTGCCCATTTCTTTTTCTACAGCTATACTAAAATTACACCAAATGATAATAGCTTTTTGCAGTGTCCATCATAAAGTTTTCAATCCCTATTACTGGTGCACTGATACATGAGCATTAGGGCACAAGTAAGAACAGTGGTGCTGAGAGATTGTCTTCCTCTCCCACATGCATCATGCACTAATCTCATACCTCAATATTTCTTACAGTGTTTCTACCATGCAGTTCACATGGTGGGGAGGTAAACAGAAGGTTAGGATGGTAGAAAGGTAGGGGAGGAAAGTAAATACAGTTAACTCCCTTTTTAACGGACACACCAGGGACCTCGAGTTAGTGTCCTTATTAGAGAGAGTCCATAGTAGTGGGAGTATATTTCAGTCAAATGTCTATAATTTAGTTTTTCCTGGAATTTAGCAGCTGTTTTTGTTACTGGGGTGTCCGCAAGCCGAGATTTGACTGTAGTCACAAGGATGGGGAGTATCTACCCTGCTACTAACCTACCGCCTTGCCAACTCATCTGTCTCCTTTTTTACCTGCTGGTGCAATTCCCTGCTAATATGCACACTGAAGTAACATGAAAAAAACAAGGAAGTGAAAGTGCATGTGGGTGTGTGGCCAGGCAAGATATGCTGTCAGGTATGTAGATTGGCAGCCACAGGCTTTCAGCCAGGTGATAGGGGAGGAGGGACTTCCCTATTTGGCCACTAGGGAGATATGCCATTGAACAGGACATAATAGCTTTCTTGCATCTCTATCCTGAACAATGTGTACAAAAAAAATCCAAGATAGTCCTAAATAAAACTTCAGAAACAAAAAGTGCAGTGCATATTTGTACCTGATTTTCTATTAAGGATTTAATGGTCTTAATGTAGAGGTTGTTATCCTATTCAGTTTAGATATTAACATAGCTTAGGTTTCCTTTTTTGGTCCTTAATGTTCTCAAGACTCTTAAGGGTACCCATGTGCCTTAGCTTGGGTCAAGCATCCCGACTGGCTATACTAAGCAACCAGGAAGGCACGTAGCGCTCAAACAGACAACTAGAAAACCAGATCAGTAAGTGGTTGGGTCGATGAGCAAGAAGCTGGGTATGTCCTAGCAAAACATTTGACGCTTTTTGATATTTCTTTACCGAATATCACCTCATCAGCTCTCTATTTAGCTAGGTAGTTGACCACTGATATAGGCAAGTATGCAAGAAGTTGAATTAGAAAGGTAGGTAGTAAGTAAGTGGATTGGAAAATAAGTGGATGAGTGCACAAAATTTTAAGGTAGAAATTTAGGTAATTAAGTGGTCATGAAGAAAGGTAATGTAAGACAGCAGGGTGCAAAGAAAATCATTTTACAGGCAAGCTGTAAAAATGATTTTTACTAGCCCAGACGTCATTTCAACTACCCCCAGATGCTTTTTGATGAGCAGAATTGATTTCATAGTTCTAATCTGTTATTTGAAATGCTCAAAAAATGTTATTTGCCCGACAGACAAGTTAATAACAGAATTCACTAGCCTGATAGCCAGACACTACTTTCTTTGCACGCTGGACAGCTAAGATAGGTTGCTAGGTAGAAAAAAAGGCAAGTGGTTGTTAAGTAGACTAGCAAGTAGGTAAAGGTGGTAAATATGAAAGTATTATGTCACAACAACTTTGTTTATAATAAACAAAAAATACACTTTTATTTTATTGCCAGGGTATGTTATGCACAGCAGTGGCCTTGGAAATCCATTTCATTTTTCAAAAACATTGTTAAAACGCTTAAGTTATATTCTTACGTTAAGCCACTTAAGATGAAAATATAAACATTATGAGCAAAAAATATAACATTGTGAGGAAAACGCAGTTTAAAACTTCTATGACCTAGGCACCTTCTATATCATATATGTCAAGTGTGCATTAATGAAACTCATGTACATGTACAATGACTTCTACCTGTTACAATTCAAGTAATTCCTTGCATTGAGTATCAAGTTCTCCAATAACATGTACAATTAATGCTGCTTTTCCTCATTCCTAATAACTCTTCATCCACTACCAGGAGTTAATCAGTTGGAACCAACGAATTTAAAAAATTTCCACTACATCTTGCCTAAACATTACTTGTGAGCAGGAGGCAGCAGAGTGTTGGACTAAGTAATCTGGAGGTCCTGATCTCAAGTTCTGCCCCGACCGCTAGCAGGATCCCAAGTGCAAATCTTGCAAATACTTAATGACTGGTTTGCACCCATCCAGTTGGGATTCTTAACCCTGTTATTTTTTTTATTTAAATCATTTGATTTAGTCACTGACTGCTAGGCCTGATATATGGCATCTTTGCATGCCAGGGGTAAGTTATTATTTTTTATTTATTTGCAGTACAGTGCTAAATATAAACCTACTAAAATTGAATGCATGTCTCGTTTTCCCAATGTAGGTCACATGATCATGTGCTCTACAGAACTACCACTGAAATTTCTTCTTCACATTCATTTGTCACATAATCGCAACAAGAAGACAAAGGGCAAATTCTCTTGTGATCAAAACATGACCTACACTACGAAAACTTAAAAACACAAGCTAAGGACACTATTTCAGGTTGTAACTTTTAGGATTATCAGGTTGAATGTAGGATTATAGGTTTAATGAACAAAAAGTACATCTCTCCATGTGCATCAGGCTCTGTTGTAAATTTCCTTGCCACCTCTGTGCAACAACTATGACATGAGAATGACCAAATTTTAAGTTTACTTCAGAATGGGAATAGCAAGGCGATAAATTTTACAACCTCTGTTTGAAATCATCTAGATGCCATCACCTCTATTCAGCTCTGACCAAATTTCTCTTCTTTTAAGTAACCACGTGACTCAAGGTTTGACTGGACTGTCAGCACAGCAATGCTGCCGAGCTTCCAGTGACGTACCCACTCGTTTGCCTGGGATATTGTTCTGACATTGAGAACATATCAGGGGAACCCAACCACGATTTCCTCCTGTATACATTGAAAACGCTTTTTAGGTTGTCCAAAGTACTTTTAGATCTCTAGAAATGAATTCTGAGCAGCACTTTAAAATTTGTGTCTGTTTGGTCTCCTAGCGAAACTTGAGTCTTTTCAAAATTGTAAGTGCTTCATTTTCTTTGTTCCCGGAAATTTTAGATGCAAATTATTTAAAGTTTTACAAAAGTGAAAATTTTCTGATTCCTCTCACCATCGAATTTCTGAAACTGAAAATTATAGGTTTCCTTTTTTTTAACGAAAAATAGCTTAACCTGGGGAGTGAAATGGGAACAATTAAACTTGAGAAAATTGTAGGAAGTTTATTTCATAAGCTTCTAAACTTGTACATAAATGGAATGGTCATCTAGAAAGTTTTAACCGATGTCAATTTATATTCAAAGTAAAATTCATAAAATTTGCTTCTCCAAACAAATATTTTACAGAAAACAGTCATTGGGTGCCCCTGACATATGCTACAGGCCACAAGAAACAACACAGATTGTTTCCGCCAGCATGCTTGTGAAGTTAAAGTCAAGCAGACATTTCATAAAATTAATCATGGTGGTAAAGACTGGCTAAGGATTGCCTCTGTTGCTGGCAACTAATTCTGTTCTCATATCCAAACAGAATCCCAGGTAGGTCATAAGAGAACAAGGCTTACAATACTTAGAAGTCCTATAAGTTAATTCAGGAAAAAAGACCAGCCATGGAATATATGGACTGGACTAAATTGACATAGATTTTGCTGTGCAACACAGACGTCCTTTAAGACCCACTCACCATCCTTGCACAGTTATGCTTGCTCTGCCAAAACTTGAGATCGCATTTGAGACAACAATCTTAGTTGTCCATTTCAGCTTTTTATTAGCCAAGCTTGCACAAATTTCATTGTTTGGCAGCAGCCATATGCCTTTTTTTGTGAAGCAACACTGTCTGAAAAATCCACTTGCAAGCACCCAACAATAATTCCCAACCACAATTTCCAACCAACATCCAAAATAATGCTGCTCGAACATCACGTAAATGATAAGTCCTCTTCACTGTCCGAGGACAAGTGCATCGGTGTTTTTCGTCCAGGTTTATACCTGGTATTCAAAGAAGGTGCTGCACCTCCTCCTGCTCGTAATCTGAAAATAAAACAAACAAACAAACAACTAAGCCAGTTATACTTCACCCAATAACCTGTAAAATAACTTAAATATCTTGCTTTGGACACAATATATTGTTGTTGCACTGTAAGGAGAGATAGGTGAAAATTTTGTTGTTTGCACATTTGAGACACTAATAAATCGTTATGAATGACATATTCAAAAGTTGTGTTTTTGCAGTTTTTTTCCTGAGGTTGCGGGTAATATTCAATCTAGTATGAGGAGGAGTATGAAGTCTGGACCAGGATCGTAAGAGCAATGGTCAGTCAATATTGAGCAATGAGTGGCAAGAGTTGAAAAATTGATTTCTTTCATTTTTTTCTCCACAGATATCTTTTACGTGGATAAGAAACGTGATGTAAATTGCTTCCACCAAAAGCCTTTTATTTGCGAGAAAAATAGGAATATCGGTTTTTGAGGTTGGAGTCTCAAACTGGCCTAATTTTTAACCTGAAATTTGCTAACATCAACTTTCCTCGCATTCACAAACAAAGCTGCACAGAGAAATTTGGACACTTCCCATCAACAGAACAACTCTTTTTCATTCACTAGAAGATACTTTCAGGGAAATAGCGAGACTCATTGAACTGAAATACTTCAAAAATGAGGAATTAAGGCTTTCATGATATCGAAAACTTAAGTTTATTACTCATTTTTGACGGCAATATTTAACTTGTGGTCTAACTCCAAATTTTCTTCATCCTAGTTTAATAAATCACACCTTTAAGACAATCATCTAGTAAGTGAGAATAATATAGACAAATAATTAAGTGAAAGGTTCCTCCTTGTGCTGGGTACATATTACTTAACATTGCCTGCCCAGCACAAACAAATTTTGCTCAGTTGCCCACTTCTCAATTATAAGGGTCTGAATATTCTCACACTCACTGGTCATCTTATTATTTATTTGATTGGATCACAAATAAAAATGTATGGTGGAATAATTTTCTCTCAAGTTTACAGGCTGTTTTTCTTACCTTGAATTTAAATGTTCTACTTCAACTCTGTAACCTTCAGCTCGTTCAGTTTGTTCATCTAAATTTCGTTGAAGTTTTCTTACATTGTTTGTTTGTGCATCCAACTATAACCGAAGCAAACAAGCCTTAGAAAAGGGAAAGCTAACATTAACCAGCATATGGGTGGGTAAGCCTCAGCCTGCCTGGTAGAAAATAGCTTTACCAGCTAGAATGTAACACATGTAGTATAAAAATTGGTGAGAGTGGTGATGAAGATGACGGTGATGAAGAAACAGGCTTAAAATAAGAATAGTTTCCATAGCGGATCAGTGTATCTGTATTAAATGGTTACCAAGGTAACTACAAATCAAAATTAATATTGGGTCCTATTAAGTGTGAGTCATATATTCCAGAGGGGAAGAAGGTAGGAAATCAACTCCTTCCAACAGTCTCTGCTTCACCCAACTACAAATAATCTTTCTCCGACTATAAGGCATCTCAAAAAAAGGAATTCTAAATTGTTTTTGGGTACTAGACCTGGCCCATTTCTCCCTCTTCTAGCACAGAGGACATCTGATCCTGACATTTGCAAAACATACCTCATCTTCTGCTTTTGTTAAGTCAACTTTCAACTCTTCCACTCTTGTTCTCAGTTTTCTTACTTCATTCTCATGTTGATCCAGCCTCTTTTTGGCATGAGCTAACTCCTCAGCCTTGAAAAAAAGAAATCAGTTCAGGTGACCTACAAGATGAAAACCTCTGCGAAGTGCAACTCAGACTACCTTAGAGAGTTTGGCTTATAGGTAGTAAAGCACAATTCCACTGGAGCTAAGCCAACACCAGATGTTCATCCTAAAGAGGTGTCTGCCTTGGGGTGTCAGGTTTGAGAATGAGTGACCCCAAATAACAACAAATAACTACTTTATTCTCTGTAGAAAAGCATGAACAACTTTCTCTTTAGTTTGCACTGATCTAAGTACACTCACACTCCTAGGTGTCGCACCTAAGGAGTTATAGCTGCAACTATGGCTGAAACCACAGTCGAACCTCCACTGAAGGCCACCTCTCCACAACAGCAATTTTTTTTGACAGACAGTCCATACATTCACTCTTGTTTCAACCTCTCTACAATGGCCACTTTCTTCTGTCCCCAAGGTGGCCACAATAACCAGGGCTTCTGACAGGTCGCGGAGGAAAAAGTCAAATTTCGGGGGATTTTTAGGGACAAATTCACAGAAAAATTGGCCGATTTCGCAGGAGTTTTCGGGAAAAACTTCACCAAAAAGCAATCGGTAAAAAACGGTCAATTTTGTGGTTATTTTCAAGGCAAATTTCGCTAACAATCAATCGGTTTTGCACTGATCAGACCAGCGTTTTCAACATTTTTCTTGCAGAGGTCATCATTTGCTCTTTCAACAACAATATGCTCCAGAAATGAACCAATGGCAAAGCTTTTAACATCATGGCTAGTGCCCAGTTTTCGCAACATCATCTACGCCTGGTAGTTTTGGGATGTTGTTTGCACGTTTCAGTGACGAAGTTCTAAGATAAATTTGCAAGTTTACGGCAAGTAAATAGCCCCAATAGCTGAAATAAGTTTCAAATATGCTGTACTGACATGTATTTGATAAGATTTCTACCGAATTTCGCGGTATTTTTTGTGTTCTTGCGAATTTCGCGGGATTTCGTGGATTTACCTGAATTTCACGGCTCCACGACTGCGCGAAATATCAGAAGCCCTGAATAACCTGCAACCAGGCTGCACTTTTGACGTCATTTTGACGTCATTGGTTCAATTTGACAAAATTCTTGCCAAATTCGGTCAACAGTAACTTGTTATGGTGAATCATAAGTGTGGTTTTAACCAATCAGAAATGGGGGAAAATTTTGAATGAATAATAATAACATTTACGTACAATGATTTAACAATGGTACTACCTCACAAATTTGGCTTGGTCAATCGGGGTTCTAACAATACATGCCTCTGACCTGACCCCAACTGTTTGGCCACTACCCAAAGAGCATTCTGTATAGTTAATATGGATTATGTACTTTGAAAAAATAACCAGTATTAATGGCTTTTCCATTACCTTTTCCTGGAGCTGCTTTCTCACTTTGTTATATGCAAACTTAAGTTCTTGCTGCTCCTGCGAAACAAACATTCCAGACCATTTTCAATTCAAAATACATACCCCATGCATTTCCCCAGTTAGAAGTTCAACATTCATTTACTTTAATTCATTTTGGGAAATGGTTATATACTCGTGAGTCTAAATGTTCACAAGCATATCAAAGAGACGCTACTGGCTAACCAAAGAAAATAAATAAAAAAGCCCTCTTGAAATCGAAATCATGATTGTCTCTCTAATGAAAGACAGGTGCTAGCATTCTGGTAGGTGATTACAATACGAAATGGGAGGGTACACAGAGAACAGGAGATGTATAAAACTGGGGTGTTCTGACCCAAACCATCTGAAAACATGAAAAGGAGTCAGCAAATGTCATTAAGAATCCAGGAAAGGTAAGCTGCACTCATTTCAGTATAACTATGCAGAGTGAGAACAAGAATCATTTAAATAAAATAATCTAAGGACATTAATTTTGCATATAGCAGAGTTCAACATCTTGCTGACAGCTGCATTGCTGCAGAGAAAAAGAAGTTGCTTGCCTAATAAATGCTTATTTCACCAGGGGGGAAACAGCTGTAATGAGAGCAAAAAGTTTCCCTATTTTAAAAGGTGCTTCAGTCATCTTGCAATAGGGATGCCAGTATCTTTAAAAGATCCACAAAGCCATGCACCATAAAATAAATGCCAAAGCAGGTGTTGGAAGCATTGGTGAAAAGTTTTTCTGTATAATTTCTTAACCAACTGCTGCCAGAAGAAGGGACATGTTGTCACAGTGGGGCAGACTTTATGTTTAAGCTACCAGAAAAGACTGAAAGGCAGAGTTCAATCAAATTTGATTGTGAAGAAGGCAGTGAATGAAAGTGAAAGGAGGCAACATGATGATGGGATCCAGGCAGATTAAATTTGGGGAGCCCAGAAGAGATTGCCTACAATTGATTCTTGCAATCAGTAAGTGTCAGTTCCAGCTTCTTAGGGTTGACATCAGACAGAGAAATAACAGAACATACTCAACAAGATAATGCAATTGTAACCACAGGTCCAGCCACACAATACCAGGCTACAAAAAAACCATGGTCTTGCACAGCTAATGTGAAAGAATTGGCAAAGTGGTAAAATTTAGCGGTGGAACTTTGCAAACCAAATGGGAAATGCAGGTCTAGAAACCTCTGTTAACCATTGTTGCTAGCCAGATTTGTCTTGGCAACTAGAAATTTGTGGATGCGTAAGGATATCCCAAAAAGTGAAATCCCATTAAGACATTAAAGTATCCTGTGTGATATGCTGGAGGTAAGTAGTGGCCTGGTCAAGAGTGTCATATTTGATAGACAGATAGTCCTGGAAAATAAACACCCACACCCACCGCAGCAAACAACTTGAGTAACTTGATTAGGAGAAGCATGCAAATTTGCTTCCCTCAAGAGCTAAGGTAAAGGAAAGATTATTGTACTTTGAGAAAATGTCAGACTGATTTTTTTGTTTTAGCAAAATGCCACATCTCTAGAGAGTACTAGAGGGTGATATAAGGGGTCCATGTCAGGCTAGAGACATGACCATTTAGTTACAATGCCATTAAAACATAATTGTAGAAACAGTAGACACTTAAAGGAATTACCCTAGTTTTCTCATCAAGTTGTGTCTGCAGCTGTTTAATGTCAACACTTCCTTTTGATGTCCTACTTGAGTCACTCAACTGAGCTGATAGATCCTGTAAAAAACATAATAAATCAAGACTTGTAGTGGGTTAAAAAAATATTACACAGCCCACCACACTACAGACTGATAGACAAGACATTGGACCCTGATTGCTATCAAAAATGTTGTTTCAGATCAAGGGTAAATTGTTTGGCTTAGTTTACTTAAAACAGTGAGTTTTCTCCTGTGCCACGGGATGTGACCTGTAATTTAGGCCATGATCACACTACAACAGACCAATCTTTGTGCTGGCACAGACAACAAATCCAGGGGTCAATTTGAAAGGACGTTTAACTATGGATATTTTTTTTTCAAACTAAGCCACTTTTGAAAATTATCTGACCCCAGTATAATGTTAACACTACAAATTCAAACAAACTGGACCAAAAATGGTCCATGTGCAATGTTATTGCCCATCTGGTATGTTGTTTAGATAAGATAAATGCTATGTGGTGTAGTGTGAAACTCGGTCAACCCAAAACTTATCAAGTGTTGAAAAATGTCTCATGTTACTCTTGTAAGATAGATATGACTACTATAAGCAAAGCCAGTATCTTCCAATAACATACACGTACATTTTGTACCTCAAAATGGCATTCTGTTACAGAGCAACCAGGAAAACAGTGAAAACCAGAAATATGCCCGGAATATTATTTCTGTTCAATCATGCGCCTGAAATCCACTCACCAAACCACAGAGTGTTAATGTGGCTAAATATTATCTAGGCAAAGATAAATTCGAGCAAATGCCACCACCAGTCTTCCTCATCTGCAGTATGTGACCTATGGGGCAGCCTCCAGAGGTTTTGCAGGGTTTCAAGGTTCATTCGTGCAGTGTTATTGGCTGATCTTTGAGGATGAAAAGTTTAGCAATTGCAAATCATTGCGGATTCTTGCTCGGTTTTATTGCTTCTTGTTTTGTGGGAAAGCTTATTGCTAAGATAATGACATCCAGGTCAACACACAACAGCCAAGCGGCAGAATTTCATGCCATGAATTCTGCTGCTGTCATCGAGATATTGGCTCTGAACTCATGTTTGCCTCTTACAAGCTCATCTGAACCACCAGCCAGTGTTCTCACCAGGATTTTGCCTTGGGGAGTCCCAGGGCCCCATCTTCTGAGAAATAGGGGCCCTGTAAGAACATTAGGGGGACAAAGTTACAAAAAACACGTGGTACGAAGAACCTGAGCCCGCACTCCAAATTGTCTGTTACATGAAGTACCTACCTCATCCAATATGGCGGAAGAGGTGTTTACGATTCGGAGGAGGAGTTTACGATGTAGTGGGACGTGCGTGGGACCAATGAAAGTAAAGGCAACAAAATTAAAGACTTTGACTCATTTGATATCATGTTTTTTATTTATTCAAACAAACAGAATGCTTTAGTGTTAGGTTGACAAATTAAAACTACTTAAGTCCGCTTGACTCGTAGCTTGCCCCTGCGCCCTAACGGGCGCATCTTCTTGGTTTTAATGCGCCATTTCAGTTTTTCTTGCGGGAATCCCGCAAGGCCGCAGCCTGGTGAGAACACTGCCACCAGCAACATCCCAATC